ATTCTGGAATATCCAACGGTTTCAATACTCATGGCGGCCTTTGATGTTTTGCCTTGACTTGCTCAATTGGTATCGGGATTTAACTTAAGTCTCCTATATGATGAAAGTCTTGGATTCGAATCCTGGGGGATACGTCAGAAAGTCGTGAGGGGTAAGATGGGCCTAAGCTCTCCCAAAGCGGACAGTACGTATGATATGATAATGACTCCGGCACGAGGTCGGGTCATTACAGTTCACACTTCATCTTATTCAACACGATTCACGAACTGTTTTCCTTCTATTCATCTGTAAATATCTCTTGCCTCTCTACACAAGCAGGCATTAGGGTTTGAAGGGCTTGTTCGAAAAAGAGTAAACATGTCTCTCCTCCAAAACCCCTAAACCTCAGCACCTCCACTGGTGAATATGTTGCTCTCCCACTACCTCCTCTACAAACCACCGTCAAACCGAAGTAGGTCGAAGCTGACGAGACTGGAAAGGCTGTGAAGAAGAAGGCCAAGGTTATTGAGAGATAGGCTACCAAAGAAGAGTTCCAACGAACACTTGTATGCAAAATCTACTTTATGCCTTCCCTTTTTAACCTTTATTTCATTTTGAGGATGATCACCGTCAAATCACCTCAAAAGCATTATTCAGATCATTATTATTCAGTCCTTTTATTTCTTTTTCCAGTAAAGCAATCCCTTTTGAAATGTCCCAACTTCCCACAGTCATAACACTTCTTATTACTTTTGTCTTTAGGCTTAGATCTCATTTTAGATCTTCCTCTATCCTTCTTATTATGGAAATTAAACTCATTTTTTTCAGTTCTTCCTCTCACAAACAAACTTTCTTCTCTTGAGTTGGTTCTATTATCTCTCTTAAGCTCTAACTCTCTGAATTTCAATGCATCTAACAATTGCTCCCAACCATATTTTATGGCATTCCTAATCTCTTTATGGGATTCAGGTAAAGAGTTAAGCAATATAACAACTAAGTTTTCATCATCAAACTTCTTATCAATGTGTGCTAGATTATTAACAATTATGCTATAGACACTTAGGTTTCCTTCCAAATCCTTTCCGAGGTCTATCTTACAACTAAACAGCTTCTCTAACAGGTATATCTTGTTAGGCAGAGTCTTAGTCAAGAACAGGGCATCTAATGCAGTCCATAAATTCCTAGCAGTTTCAAGAATATCAACTTGTCTAACAATATTACAAATGTAAGATTATAGAACTATATGCAATTTTATTCATTTCTTCAATTTTAGCAGGTTTAGCTTTTAACTCATCAGAAAATTTTTCATAATCATTAAGGGCCTTTGCAACCCTTTGCTGGACCAGAATGGCCCTCATTTTCTGCTTTCATATAGAGTAATCCCCATTTCCATCGAATTGTGATATTTCGACCTTCGAACCCATTACAGATTCTGTAAAATGGTGGCTTGTACTCGTGGACATAGTAGAAAAGGTTTTGAAAAAAAAAATTCGAATAATCAATTGTAATAAAAACACAGTGTCAAAGGTGATCAGAAATTGAAGAATAGTAAGGCAAATATTTGACAGTATATGAAAACAATTCAACCAAGAACCTCAATCAAATATATATGAAGGTATGAAAGATGTTCAGACAGTTTATAGATATATGATACAGATATATGTTTTTCAAAATTTTTTACAAGAATTCAAAAACATACAACCTATTATTCATATATCATTTACAAGAAAAACACCAAACCAGGATTTAAAGAAGGTTCGGAAAGATCTTACCAATACTGTTGAAAAATAGTATTATTAACCCAAAACCCTCAATTGAACCCAACAGTCAGAGAAAACGATCAACTAACAGCCCACACCAAACACAAGTAAAATAGTCAGTATCGATCATATTCAAGATGCCAAAAATAATACCCAAGAAAAGATTATTTTATAAAATGAAAAATACGACCGGAACCCTAGACTAGCTCTGATACCGGTTTTGTTGGGATTTTAAGTATGAAAACACTTCTAAATATGAACTATAAAACACACAAGTTCAGAAGTAGTAAAAGAAAGAGCAAGAACACAGATCTGTTGACCCGGTTGAGCCAAAAAAGGGCCTAATCTGGGGGGCTCAGGAACAGCCCGTTCCACTAGTACAAAATGCTTTCCAAGAGAGAGAAAGATTACATCAAACCACTCAGTTCCTAGAGTTTGGTCATCGATCATAAGATCTCGCAAAACAGAAAGTAAAAACATACACAAATCTAACCCAACACTTCGGGGAAAAACTACACGAAATCAGCCACTCTTTCAAGCCTAATTAACACCAAACATTCACCTCCTAACAGTTAGATCAATTACAAAGAACCTCACAAGACGAAGATATTATAGACTCAAACACGAAGGATCCAAAGAGAGAGAGAGAAACGCAGAGCCCAGAAAAATGAAAAGTTTTGTCTCAACAATAAACTAAACAGACGATATTATCTTGAGAATGGATCTCAGCCATTGATTTCATCCAACGATCATCATTAGTTTAAACTAGCACATTCCGTGTGAAAGGCTCAGCTACCACTTAAGCAGCTCAAGCCAAATAAGTAGCTAAGGCAATTGACACAAATAGCACCATTTTAAAAGTGTCTTGAGAAACACAACTCTCACACATTTGAAGGAGAAGTATGCCATAAAAACCACCCCCAGGTACTTGAGTCCTCTCTTTCACCTTGCTACCATCCCATCATCATCTGAATCATTTGGAGTTCTCAAATGTTTAGATTGCTTGTTAGTGGGACTTGCATTGTCTGGCTTCTTGAATGATACGACAAATGCAGGGCAGTTCATATGTTGAATCTAAATCATGTTTTGGACTTCTCAATTCCTTGTAAAAAAAATTTACGTTTCCCACCTTTTATGTTTGTCTTAATTGAGAAGTCCAGGGAGTCTACTCAATTACAAGCACTTTCAAACTCAAGTGCATGTGAGCATATTTCCCGTCTCCATAGATAAATTAGATGCGGACACCTCAGCTTCCGCAATTCATGAACCATACTCCAAGCATCGAAAAACTTTTAATCTTTTTGATTGCTCGAGATTATTGTAGTCCTAAAAAGAAATTTGGTAACAATTCAAATGAAATTATCACTCATACAGAGTGAGATCAAGGATTTAATTTTTTAAGTAAGACAAAAAAGGAACCCTAAAAGAACTTGCCAAATGAACAAAATCTATCAATGTTGGCACATAGGGAACGTGTTTTTAATGAATATTTATGCAATATGCATATTGAACTTGTCATTTAAAAGGTCAAGTGCAAGCCTGAACAGGTTTAAGAAACAAAAAATTTACCTAAAAGCCAGAGCATATTAGGTAGTATTGAACAACCTTTATTTAAAAAAGAAAGTGGCTAAGGTTTGATTTTTGCCATCAAGAGCATGTTTCGTAATATTGAACATGATTTAAGAGTACACTGATCAAGAATTTTAGTTCATTTTCTATATATATTCAACCTAAATTTCATTGGGATAAATTGTTTTTCATAAAAAAGGATTCGTTTTCATGGTGAACTTTAGCACCCATTTTTCACAGAAAATGATACAAAAGAGAAGAAAAGATAAGAGTCCAAGAGATACATGACTGTCGAGGTATGATGGACTGATAACTTTCAAAATTCTAAATGAAATTCAGCTACGATCAGTCTGGGGGAAGAATGGATCAATTTGCAAGCCATTAATGTGAGAGAGGAAGGGCTCTAGCGAGGTAATCTTTGATGCAGACCGGACACCTATCACATTCCTAACTTGTGGGTGAAGTACGTCAAGAGAAACACCCCCAGGACCTACAGTCCTATCATTCACCTTGCTACCATCCTGTCATCCTTCAAAACATATGAAGTTCTCAATGGTTTAGATTGCTCGTTAGAGCCTGATCTAGCTGCTAAAATAATACGACAAACGTGAACAACTCTCAAAAGGCCAAAGACTTCATGTTCAAATTATGCTTGCCAGCAAACAAATTATTTCTACTTCCCTTACCAACATACAAAGGATAGTCATCTTTATTAAAATACCTTTAATAAAGACTCTTCTCAGAAGCCGGGAAGGATGAAGAAAAGTGGAAAAGTGGCAGACATTAACTTCAACAATTCCAAAGAAGACCTCAAAGGACGATTTTTACTCAAAAGATATTCCAAAGGACAAACAACTTTTGCCAAGTGGAAGACATCTTTTTCAAAGATAATTATCAAGATTCTTATTTTCAATTCAATGTAATTTCAAGTCTGAAATCTCAACTATTTGTTGCACGTCATTCTGAGGTCTTAGACAGAGCGAAAAATAATAGAATTTATTTTTCTCCACCTCAAGAAAGTTTAAATTCCTTGTAATTTTATCTTTCTTTCAAGATATTATCAAACAAATAATTTCTTGTTTTTATTACTATTCTCCTTTCTTCCACACATCCCTTGTCCGGATGAAAAAAAGTGGAAAAGTGGCAGACATTGACTTCAACAATTCCAAAGAAGGCCTCAAAGGACGATTTTTACTCAAAAGATGTTCCAAAGGACAAACAACTTTTGCCAAGTGGAAGACATCTTTTTCAAAGACAATTATCAAGATTCTTATTTTCAATTCAATGTAATTTCAAGTCCGAAATCTCAGCTATTTATTGCACTTCATTCTGAGGTTTTAGACAGAGCAAAAAATAATAGAATTTATTTTTCTGCACCTCGAGAAAGTTTAAATTCCTTGTAATTTTATCTTTCTTTCAAAATGTTATCAAATAAATAATTTCTTGTTTTTATTAATATTCTCCTTTCTTCCACACATCCCTTGTCCCCTGGGCCATTTTGGTATCAGAGTCATAAGTGAGTGTTGTGAGATAACTGTGTCAAACTACTGTCCTTACTGTGTCAAAGGTCAAACTGGTGTATGGCCATGGATGTCTGCTGAGAGCGTT